TAAAACCAGACTCCAGTGGCCCCCTGGCTAGCAGTGGTCTATGCCTATCTTTTGATTATATATTTTAAAAGGGGTGGATTATTCATGAGTTTTCTGGGCAAGAGGTAGGGGGTTCCCAAAACTGAGGGTTCCCCTTCCTTTTAGCCCATATAAGGTAACTTCCAGATGTTGCCATGGCATTTGTCAACTGTCATGCACTGGTGGGAGGGTCTTTTAGCAAGCTATTATGTGACAATTAGGGTACTACGCAGAGCAATGAGGACAACCAGAGTTCATGTTCACCACCATCTTGGTTCTGGCTGGCTTTTTCATTGCATTCCGTTTTATCAGTGGAGTCCTTATGACCTGTATCTTGTGACCTCCTATCCCATCCTGTTAGATATGGAGTGCTATATCAGCTCTGTCATTTGCAAATCCCCTGTTACTACCAAGGCCTAGCTTCCTGGAAATGCAGCTCGCAGGTCTCAGCCTCATTTTACCCAGCCTCGTTCAAGATGGAGTCCGTCCGGTTGGAATGCTTCCAACATTTCCATCATCCACCTCCGCTCTCACCCCACACCACCCCCGCTTCTCCAGCTCCACTACCAACCCCCACCACAGGGAAATAAGTCAACTGCATGAGCTCTGCAGAAAGCAGAGAAAAAGCCACCTCACGAAGGTGAACCAGGGACTGAGTCACTGCAGACATTGATGGATGGGTAAATGGGCGTACAGACAGACACGGAGACTGAAATAGAAGCGCTTCCCAAAGGTCACAGAGTCAGTGCCATGTCTTCACCTCCCAGGACTACCACTTGTGACGCCTCCAGCAGCCTGGGCACCCGCTGGAGATTTGGCAGGTCTGGCTGCTCTCTGTGATGACTGCAGTCATCAGGGCCTGGTATTCCACAGATACCCAGGGGAACATGCTGAGCGAGTGAGTGAGTGGACGAAGGAAGGAATCGTTCATTGGGAGAAACCTCAGCAGACAGAGATGGAGGGGGGCAGTGTGTAAGAGAGTCGAGGAAGGACAGAAACAGATGGTGACGGATGGAGGCTGCAAATCGCCGAGATGGCCACAGACAGAAAATGAATGCATGAGACGGAGGGAGGTTACTGCGGAGAACTGCAAAGTATAGAGAGCCAGGCATGGTGGCGTGCACGTGCAGCCCTGGAAGCTGAGGCAGGAGGATGGCTGGAGCCTAGAGTTCAAGGCTGCTATGAATCCACCGCACTCCAGCCTGGGGAACATGGCAGGATCATGCTTTTCAAAACAAAAACAAAAAGCTCGAGAAACCCAGAGATGTCCCAGAGAAAGTTACAGAGACGAAAAGGAGTGAGAGAGAGAGAGAGAGAGACAGAGAGAGACAGAGAGAGAGAGAGAACGAGAGCACACGCGCAAGCCCTCCCTCAACCTTGTCAGGATGTTAGCGGTCAGAACCAGGGGTTCCTGCCTTAGTTTCCCTCCTAGTTGTGCAGGCCTCTGCTGGGCTGTGTCCCAAGGGCCTGGTGCCCTGCTTGGATTTGCCAGTTCTCTCCCTCGGGTAGGGCACAGTTGCAGTTGACCCCTTACCCCCACGCATGCCAGCTCAGGGCCCTCCCACCCAGAAGGCCCCAGAACACTACACAGAATTCTCCCCGCTCCCACCTAGGGTCAGGGGTGGGGTTGGAGGTGGAGGTAGAGACAAGAATGTTAACCTTTCTGCAGCCACTCAGAGTCCGCCTGCCCCAGACTCTGGGGAGGGGTGAAAGTCAGGGAGGAGAGAAGCTCTAAAGGGCCGAAGGGGCTTCAGGCTTCCACAGAGCCCAACCAGGATGCCCAGCTCTGTTATTTCCAAATCCCCTGGGAGCCATGGGGGAAGGGGCAGGGAGAGCTGGGAGGAAACCAACTGGGAAGTGGCCAGAGCCACAGAATTCCCCTGGGTCCTAGAGAAGGGTGGGTTCCTTCCATCCCCCACCCCATTAGTCCCTCGAAAAGGCTCTGACCTCACCTCACCCACTTCCAGAGTGGAGTTCCAGCCCTGATGAAACACTTCCAAACCCACAGCTCTGGCCCCCTCCTCGGTTGCCTCGGCCCTGGGGACTGGGTCCCCCTCCCCACCATTGTGCCAGATGTGGCTGCGGGGGAGGGGTGGACACGGGGTCCAGCTGGCAGTGGTCACTCGGTGGTCCTCTCCCTGCAGAGTCAGCGCTTTCTGTGCCAGCTCGCCCAGCCTCCTCACTCAGCACTTCCTCCAGCTTGCTTTCCAGAGGCAGCAGCTGCCTGGGTTGGGTCTTGGATTCCCAGTGCAGCCCAAAACCCATCTACAACGCAGTCCGGAAGATGGAGGGCTTGGGTGCTCCAGGGCCTGCTCTCATGGCTTCCCCACAATCACAGAAAATTCCAACCCTCAGTGGGCCTCCTGGTCCTTCCCTCTGCAAAGCAAGTGAGGAATCCCACAGCTCCTGACCTCTCTCTGCTCCCAAGACCCACTGCTGGTCAGGCCTACTGCTTCCTGGCTCCCCCATAGACTTTCCAGAGCCTGGACTTCCATGACAGGGTCACAGGACCCTGGCTGCTCCGTGGGAGGCCCAGCAACAGAGAGCTAAGCACGCGGTAGGGGCTTAATCAAGTCGTGCGTGATCAACAGGCCCTTTCAGCCTTCTATCACCAGCCCTCCGAGAGGTCTTTGATGCTGGTTCCTAGTGCCAGGAACTGGCAACAAGCCTCAAGCACATGCCTGGGTCTTAAAAAAGTGGGTGTGAATCCTAGCCTGTAGGGACAGGCAGAGAGAGAAGCTGCCCTCCCCCCAGACAGCTCTGGCCCAGCCCAGCCTGGAGTCCAAGCCCTCATCTGACCCACACTCTGCACCCTCCATAGCTTCCCAGGTCTCTTTAGGCCCCCACCCTGCACGTTTCAACCTAAGGATGCCAGGACACCTCCAGCTACTGAGGCAAGGCTTCGCCTTGAGGTGAAGGTAGGCAGGCTCCCCTGGGCTCACAGAGCTGCTGGGCCTGTCAGCCGCTGCAGGAGACCTAGACCCAAGCAGAATGAGGTCATTGCGAGGGAGCAGAGACGAAGGGAGAGGACAGCTCTGGCTTCCCTGCACACGGTTCATCCTGGGCAAGGAAAGATGCTGAAGACAGATAAAAACAGGAAAGACAGAGGGAGTGGGAGTGGGGGTCACCCCAAAGAGAGAAACCCCTCCCTTCTCTTACAAATCAAGAGGAAAGAAAGAAAATAGTGGCCACATGTCTGGCTCTGTGCTGGGGACTTTTCATAATCCCCTCATTCCATCCTCCCAAATATGCCACAAGAAAGGTATGGTTACCCCCAGGTCACAGACGGGACTCTGAGGCTCTGAGAGCTTAAAAAGGTTTCCTGGGCAGTGGCTGGGCCAGGCCAGGTCCCTAGCTCAAGTCACAGTGTAGACCCCCGGCTCTCCATCTCAGCAGGGATGGCTGGCAGGACCGCAGTCCTGGCCAGGGGAATCTGTGCAGAGGCCCAAGCTATGTTCAGAGCGGAGTTTATTCAGACAGAGCCTAACAGGAAACTTGGCTCCTCTGACTCACTCTGATTCTACCTTAAGAAAAAAGAGAGAGGAGCAGGAGCCAGCATCGGGTAAGGTTTCAAGCCAAGAGCTGGCTCCGAGGCCAGCTGAATGGAATGGCCTGTGCCCTGATCCCCCCACACCCAAAGCCTCGAGGCAGCCCCTGCCCTGCTGTCTGACTCAAGGCGAGGGGTCCTGCCTCCACTTCAGGGCAACGGAGTTCCCATCCTCACGGCCACCCTGTCCTCCCTCCACTCCTCTTCCCCTCCCTCCCTGCCTAGGGGTACCCAGAGGCCTGTTGCCACTTCTCCTCCTCCTCTGCAGCCGCTGCTGCCCATCTGGCTGGTGGGAGGGCCCTACAGGACCCCAGGGATTCTAAGCAGTAGAGGCCAACGCTGCAGGGGGCAAGCAGGAGGGAGGGAAGGCTTAACCCTCCAGGTCCCAGCCCTCAGTGAGCGCTGTCTCAGCATCTTGCTTGGTGTCAGTCACACCAGTGGCCCTTTGGAGGAACGGTGTCTGGAGTCTGAGATGGAAACCCCACGGTGGGGAGCACGGACAGGCTGCTGGCCAGGAGGTGTTGGAAGCCCCCTGCCTCCCTGGCTGGATTCTAGGCCTTTAAAGGGCAGAGACATTCAGGAGTCCAAGCCCCAGCCCTGAAGAACAGTGCAATGGGTGAACAAACGCTGCCTGGAGGGCATGGGGTTGGGAGGCCCACAGTTCCCGAGGAATGTCCACTCCAGTTACCTCCTCCCCAGGTGGGCTCCAGGAGTTTCCAAAAGAAGAAGGAATATACAGGGGCTGAATTAAGGACAGGTCCTTCCTACCTTGTTCATAAGCACGAGGGGCCAATTTCTGCCCTCCGGTTCCCAGGAACATGGTTGGAGAAGGCAGTCCCGGGGAGGCCTGAAGAGCAGCATTTGGAGTGCGATTTTCTTGGATGCCAGAGTGTTCAAACTTCTGGGACCCCCCCCCCTCCTATCCTTGCCATTCCCAGAAGGAACACAGAATCTCCCAAAACACTCTCAGGAACCATGTGGCCTCATCTTCCATTGGTCAGATGTGGCAGCTGGATCAGACAGAGTAAGGGACAAGACACACAGCCACAAGACCAGGCCCGTTCTCCGGGAAACCCCCCTTCTGTTGTTCGATGCTTACAGGATTCCCTGCCCCACAGTGACCCCTGTCCCACATCAAACACAGCCCCTGAGCTTCACTCTATCCATGTGTACACTCAAGTTATTCCCAGGCTCTGCAGAAGGAACAGATGCAGGACAGAAACCATAAGTGACGGTGTGGGACGTTGATCTCTCCCATGCTCTCCCAGGAACACAGCCCACTCTTCAGACCGGGAAAGTCAGGCCCTGAGGTGGGATGGGAGGCAAAAGCTGCAGCTTCAGTGCCTTTCTATGCAGGTACAAGAGCGGAGGTGCACCTGGGCCCCGGAATTAGAGAGTGAGCAAGGTGGAGACCAGGGATACTGCGTCCAAAGCAGAGAGGAATGGGGAGGGTGGTGCTGACACCCCAGCCCTTTTCTGCCTGCCAGAGCCCCCACTTACCAGGCCCGAGTCCCCAGAGGCCCCCGCCTACTGCCTGCTTGATTCCCTTCCTCAGAGGCCTGTCTGTGGCTTGGCTGGGAACTCCTAGGGACAGAGGGAGCACTCCAGCTGTGGGACCGGCGCATAGCTGAAAGCCGGCGGGCCATAGGGCCCCGCGGAGGAGGCCCCAGCAGGCGGACCAGGAGGCCGAAGCCTCCAGACGCTCCCAGCCTGTTGCTTATTCATTCAGAGTGGGAAAGCGCCAGCCGAGCGGCCAGCCAGTGCGGGGCTGGCCATGTAAGGCCCACAGGCGGTCCTGCCCGCCCGGTGCCCTGCAGAGAGCCTCGTGCAGCCCTGGGCATCGCCTCTGCCCTGCCCTGACCCTTTGGCCTCGAAATGCTGTCATCGGAGGAGCCGTCCCGCTCGGGACAAGGCCAGCATGGACAAAGCTAGAGCTGGAGCGAGTAAGGAGCCTTTCTGTCCTCGAGGCCGTGGGAAGAGAAGCGCGCACAGGGGGCCACTCCTGAGAGCCTCTCTGTCCACCCGGCCTCTGCTGAGTGGCCACCATGGCTCTGGCCCGAGGCAGCCGGCAGCTGGGGGCCCTGGTGTGGGGCGCCTGCCTGTGCGTGCTGGTGCACGGGCAGCAGGCGCAGCCCGGGCAGGGCTCGGACCCCGGGCGCTGGCGGCAGCTGATCCAGTGGGAGAACAACGGGCAGGTGTACAGCCTGCTCAACTCAGGCTCAGAGTACTTGCCGCCCGGGCCTCAGCGGTCTGAGAGCAGCTCCCGGGTGCTGCTGGCCGGCGCGCCCCAGGCCCAGCAGCGGCGCAGCCACGGGAGCCCTCGTCGTCGGCAGGCGCCGTCCCTGCCCCTGCCGGGGCGCGTGGGCTCGGACACCGTGCGCGGCCAGGCGCGGCACCCGTTCGGCTTCGGCCAGGTGCCCGACAACTGGCGCGAGGTGGCCGTCGGGGACAGCACGGGCATGGCCCGGGCCCGCACCTCCGTCTCCCAGCAACGGCACGGGGGCTCCGCCTCCTCGGTCTCAGCCTCGGCCTTCGCCAGCACCTACCGCCAGCCGCCCTCCTACCCGCAGCAGTTCCCCTACCCGCAGGCGCCCTACGTCAGCCAGTACGAGAACTACGACCCCGCGTCGCGGACCTACGACCAGGGTTTCGTGTACTACCGGCCCGCGGGCGGCGGCGTGGGCGCGGGGGCGGCGGCCATGGCCTCGGCGGGGGTCATCTACCCCTACCAGCCGCGGGCGCGCTACGAGGAGTACGGCGGCGGCGAGGAGCTGCCCGAGTACCCGCCGCAGGGCTTCTACCCGGCCCCGGAGAGGCCCTACGCGCCGCCGCCGCCGCCGCCGCCGCCCCCCGACGGCCTGGACCGCCGCTACTCGCACAGCCTGTACAGCGAGGGCACCGCGGGCTTCGAGCAGGCCTACCCCGACCCCGGCCCCGGCCCCGGCCCCGGCCCCGGCCCCGACGCGGCGCAGGCCTACGGCGGAGACCCGCGCCTGGGCTGGTACCCGCCCTACGCCAACCAGCCCCCCGAGGCGTACGCGCCGCCGCGCGCGCAGGAGCCGCCCTACCTGCCTGTGCGCAGCTCCGACGCGCCCCAGCCGGGTGGGGAGCGGAACGGCGCGCAGCAGGGCCGCCTCAGCGTGGGCAGCGTGTACCGGCCCAACCAGAACGGCCGCGGTGAGTACCGCCCCCGACCCCCGACGCGCGCCCCTGGCCGCGGGGAACTGCCCCGGGCGCCGGGCCCCTCCTCAGAACTTTCCCGGAAGCCTCCTCTGAGCTGCTGAGCGCGGAGCAGCGCCCCCTCCCGACTCCCCCGACCCATCCAACAGCCTGGCATCTCACCTGGCACCTCACCTCCCAGCTTAAACTGCACCCAGGCACCATCAGTGCCAGGGGTTGGCCAGGCAGGTGTGGGCTCTGATCCTGACTTTGGCGGAGGGACTAGCCTAGCTTTGGGAGGAGGCGCCTTCTGTACCTGGCTTGGGTCATGTGAGGACAAAAGGAAGGAACCCCTCATCCTGCCTCTCCCTCATTCCAATGAGGGCATCTCCTTCGCCCCTTAGAGATGCCCTATGTCAGCTCACAGGGCGAGGCAAGGAGCATCAGAAACCTGAGTCTTCAGGGCCAGAGTGGCCTTAAGGGGTGCCCTGGAGGTGTGGCAAGTTGCCCATCACTGGGCACGGTGTGAGCTTGGCCTGAGTCCGCAGGAGGTTAGAGCAGAGCCTGTGACTCCAGGGGGAAATCTGCAAGGCTGGGGCGAGAGAGACCCGTCAGGCACTGGCCTGGGTGCAGAAGTTCAGGGGCTATCAAAATAACGCAATAATTGAGATGAGCAATATTGAGATGTATTTTTTAAAAGTCAGAATTAATGTTAAAAAACAAAACTCTGTGATAAACAAAATATCCACATTTTTAAATAGAGTCCGTAATAGTGGTGTGCCAAGCCATATTGGAGCCTGAGGCAAGCTAAAAAATCAGCAACACGGATCCTGTTCTTATTTAAAATTTGGATATTTTATTAATCACAGACATTTTTCCATTAATTTTGATTTTTAAAGCTGTTACGTTAAATATTATCTCGGTTACTGAGTTTTTTGGCATCCCCTAAAATTTTGCACCCCAAGCCAAAAAAAAAAAAAAGAAAAGAAAAGAAAAGAAAAAAACACTTCACCGGCCTCGTCCACTCACCCTGGTCCTGGCCCTGGCGGAGAGCCCCAGCTGTGGACAGACCTCCCTCTGGCTTTTCAGGGGATAAGGATACGTCCTCCTCTTGGGAAGGTCAAAGCCCTCTGCACATGAGGACACAGCTGAGTGGCAGCTTCCACACATGCTATTAGCAGATGGGGTTACTGTGACAAGGGTTGACTGGTGGGTCTGGCCGAGGCTGGACGGCCATCAGCCATTCTCTGCTGCCCTAGAATCCCCCTCCCTGCTACTCTCTCCATACAGATAGCTTTTTGGTGAAGGTTTTCCATCCATCCCAGTTGCTTATGCAGTCCAACCGTTCTTTGCCTCTTTCAAGCTGTTGTCAGTTTCGTCTACCCATGATTCTCTGCTCCCCATTGAGGTTGCTGTGCCTGGCCCACCAAGTAAGGGCTGAGCCCTGCAGTGCCATGCACTGTAGGTGCTACCACCCCAGCCTCCTCCTCAGCCTCTGTCAGCAGAGGGTTGATGCCTTGTCTCCAGCCAAGCTGACAGTGAGAGACAGTGAGAGGCTGCTGCTGACGGAGTGCCTGTCTCCCTGGGTCACGCTGGAGGCCAAGACTAGGGGAGAGGAGTGTCTGCACTGGGAGCACCCACTCCCTCACATCCAAGGTGTAGCACTTGAGTTGGGTGCTGAATCCCACTTTAAGAACCTGTGAGACCTCGGGAAAAATCAGATGGCAGGTCCTTCTGTGATGTGATGAAGGATGCATCCACCTGCTGTGGTCCTGACCAGGAACCTGCAGCATCCCTGCAGAAGGGCACATTGCAGCCATGCATCAGCTGCCCTAGGGCCCCTTGGAGCATAGGGTGTTTTACTTAGAGGGTGCGAAACTTTGGCAGTGGCTTTTCTTAGAATGCAAGACCTCAGCATGAGGCTCAGCCTGATGGGCCCCACCTCTGGGCAGAGAAAACCGAGCCCTCAAATGCCACAATACTGGCAGAGGCAAGCCTGGGACTTGGCATCTGGGCTCCAAGCCAGTGGGTTTTCTAGGGCCTCTCTTTGGCCTGTTAGTTCTTAAGGAAGCCAGTTGGTTGAGAGGGGAATGCGACAGGGCGAGGCCATGTCTGGAGCCAGGGTGCTTGGTGCTTAGCAGGCCTCTGGCCACTGCCCCTGCGCCTCACAGTTCCTTTTGGGTCAGAAACATTTCTCCCCTGAAGGCAGCATCCTAGGTGCCAAGCTGAATGCGTTCACATGCATCGAGTCCAGGCCCTTCCCTGGGCAAGTCTAGCAGGAGGGGCATCTCAGTGCTGTGATTAGGCAAGCATTGGCGGGGCCGGGGGCTTTGGGAGCCCAGACGAGGGCCCTCCCAGTCAGGCGCTGGGGCTCAGGGAGACTTCCAGAGGAGGCAATGTCTAAGCATTGCTGCAAGGGATGGTCATCAGTACCCTCCAAGTAGCCCTTCCCCTAATCATTGAGGGTGTGGGGTGGGAGTGTGTTTTTTGCTGGGGAGGGGGTTGCAGGCTAGTTTAGGACTCACGAAGAGGCCAGAGAGGGAGCAGTAGTCTCCCCTGCCATTGGTTCCTCCCTCCCCACCCTGCTAAGCCCGACCGTGGAAAATCCCAGCCCAGGGAAGGCCAAGCCTTGTACTTGAGATCAGACCCCCAGGCCTGGTGTGGGAGCCCAAAGTGGATTCTCTGAGACTGACTTCATTCCTCCTGGCCCCACACCCAGGGGTCTGAGGCTGGGCGCTGGCAGCCTGCATGTGTGTGCGGGCGTGGACATGTCCTCACAACACTAAGCACATGTGAGCACCACCCACCTCCCTCCATGGGTGGGTGGTTTCCAAGCGCCTGTCCTGAGCCCAGTTTCTTCCTTGGGCACCTGCACCCTCTTCCTTCCCACCCTGGGCACTGGGAATACCCAAGGCTTCCTGCAGTACCATTCTCTCCAACTCTGAAATGTGAAACTGAAAATAAACTAGAGGAAACAGAGGCCCAGAGAGGGTCACACACTTTGCCCGGCTCTCCGGGATAGCAGATCCTTGAAGAGAGCCCTGGAGAGTGGCCAGCTGCTTCCCGGCCCAGCTGGGTCCCCTACGACGTGTCGGCTCCCTCGATGTGACCTCTCCCTCTGTCCCCACCAGGCCCTCCTCTCCTGGGATCCTCGCCTCAGTTCCTGCCTCCCCACACTTTCGGCTTCTCTGAGCTGGGGATCTTAGTGCCACATAAGAAACTCCACAGCCCCAGAAGACCAAAGCTCCCCTCCCAAGGCCTTACCCTCCCACCCCCTGCCTGACTCACCGGCTCTGGCAATCCTTTGAAAGGAACATGGAACAGGCTGCCCTGGGCATCCTCCCAGGGCATCTCAGATGGCTATGCTAGCCTTGCCTGGCGTGTGTCCTCTATCCCTGACCTCACATGGCCAATCAGAGGCCAGGAGGAAATTGGACCTGCCCCCTCCCCGTATCCTTGTCCCCATTCTCTCCCTCTCCAGTTTGTCCTACATGTGGGGCAGATAAACCCCAGCAGTCTGGCCAGGTTACTCCTCCGCTCAAGAAGATTCTGTAGCTCCTCAGGGCCTTTGAGACAAAGTCTAGGGTCTCAGCCTAGCACTCCAGAGCTAGAGGTAGCCCTTTCCCGTCCTTTCCTGTCCTTTCCTCCTTCTCCTTCGCTCAAGCCTCCACAGCCCCCACAGGACCATGCTGCTCAAGGGGCCTAGATGTTACATCTCCCTAGACACATGCAAGGGTGTTTCCAGGGTACCGCCTTCTCTGTCCAGCCTCCTGCACCCAAGAGGCCAGACCTGTCTGGACTCTCAGTTCCTGAGAGCAGCTCTGGCTGCCTGCTACCACCCCTCCTGCCTGAGCCCCTAGCTCTCCTGGGCCTGTCCCCCCGCACCACAGGCTGCCTGCCCACCTGCACCCTCCAGGTCGGCCACCTTTCCCCGCAGAGTTGGAAGTAGATGCAAGGAAGGACCAAAGCGGGCTTCACCCAGCAAGCTTCCAGAGGTAGAGCCCAGAGGCAGGGATGATCCTACCAACGTGGCCATTTGCTGAAGACTACGTCCTGGGCTTAGCAGCCTCAACGCACAACCTCCTAGTGAGGTGCAGATGAGAAAACTGAGGCCTAGGGAGGTGGCACAAAAGGGTACACCCGAGCCTGAATTCAAACTGAGCCTGTGCTCTCTGCATCACAGTGAGATGACCCAGGAGGAAGCCATGCTCCACCTGCAGGTGGGGCAGGGCAGGCGGTGAGCATGGACCCCTCTGCCAGCTTTGCCTCTGTGGGCCTTACCTCCGCCATCTGCATCCAGAGGGAAGAATTACGCTTGCATTTGCTGAGTGCGTTACATGACATGTCCTTTTGTTCCCAGGTCCGAGCCAGGTACTGTGATACAGATAAGGTGACAGGCTCCCTTGCTGACTTTTAGTAGTGGAACCAGCATTTGAGTCTGTGTGACTCCCTATCCTGAGTTCTTAACAACCATGCATTTCAAAAAAAAAAAAAAAAACTTCTGTATTAATTGCTTAGATCCTGTATGCCTCACTTATTCACTCATTCATTTGGTCATTCATTCATTCAACAGGTATTTGACTGCTAGATTCTGGGTATTGTTTGTGACAGGGTGAGACGGGACAGTAGGTGTGACAGACTTTGGAAGCAGAGCCTCTCCCCAGTGTGGTGTTAGGGTGTTGCCTGGTCATTATTATTGCAGATTTCAGAAGGGTTGTGTAACAGATACTCTTATAGTGCATACTAAGTGCCGGACACTGTTCCTGGAGCTTTGCAGTTGGAGTCGCTTAATCCTTATAACAACCCTGGGATTGCTATCCCCATTTTGCAGATGAGGAAACTGAGGCCCTGGGAGGTTCAGTGACTTGCCCTGGAGGTAGAATCACAGATCAGCATCCCTCCTTCCTTCCCTGAAGATGTCTCAGATTGTTCCTTCAGAAAGAAAGAGTCTTCAGGCTGAGAAAGCTATGTCAGGTCAGACAAGCTGTAGAAACAGAGGGTTCTGGGCCCTTCTCTTG